AGATAGATAGATAGATAGATAGATAGACAGATAGACAAGATAGATAGATAGATAGATGGATAGATGGATAGATAGATAGACGGATAGATAGATAGATTGATGGATTGATGGATAGATAGATAGATAGATAGATAGATAGATAGATAGATAGATAGATAGATAGATAGAGCAGATGGATAGATGGATAGATAGATAGATAGATTGATAGACAGATAGACAGGTAGACAAGATAGATAGATAGATAGATAGATAGATAGATAGATAGATAGATAGATAGATAGATAGATAGATGATAGATAGACGATAGATAGACAGATAGACAAATAGACAGATGATAGACAGACAGATAGATAGACAGATAGACAGATAGACGATAGATAGATAGATAGATAGATAGATAGACAGACAGACAGATAGACAGATAGACAGATTGAGAGATTGACAGATTGATAGTTGGATAAAGAGATAGATATGCTGATTTCTTACGTCTGCTACAGGCTTGCACAGGTTGCGATTTCAGTCCACTTCTCTCTGCTTGCACACGCAGATTGACACAGCCATGCTCACTGTCAGCTTTAGTGAAAGCAACATTACAGGAAGTGAAAGATGTCTGGACACAGGAAGCTACATCTTTCCACACAGTGTGGTCAAAGCTGAGGGAAAACAAAGAAAACACAACTTTATAGCAGTGTACTTTTTAGGTCTGTCACTATTCAGAATTGTGATTCAAGTGACAAAACTGATAACTGATAAATTCCCATTTCTTGTAACTGGTATTTATACCAATATTCTTTCTACTACATTCTTGCCATGGAATAATATAATCTAAAATGAGGCGAACAAACCTGAATTTATCAACACATTTCTGCCTTTCATTCCATTCTATATATGACCTATATATTCACACACCTTTACATTCCTAACGCAGCAATAAAATACATTGTTGAATACAAACATTTCAAAAACAACACTCGTTACAATCTAAACATCCCTAAACACCACAAAAACAGAAATTCAACTCTAGGAAACTACATTTTGAGTTACCTCTGTATACATTTCTGAACGTGTTTCCATTGAATTATTTGCAAATTTAAAAAAAAGGGTTAAACATATACATCTCATTGCTGTTATTTGTGTCTATGAAGATTCTCAGTCACCCAGGTCATGGTCAAGTTTAAAAAGTTCTGTTAGGCAACTGGACAGTTCCCGGTGACCAAAACCGTTCTGATGGGGACCACAACGACCCATATCAGACTCTTGACGACTGTTTACACTTTCACAGTTGATCCCAAGGCCCCACCTAACAGGGTGGAGCTGAAGTAGCTTTATTCTTTCTCACCTAGAGTATTTATTTGCTGCACTCCCCACCACCAGTTAGAACTGAAGAAGCTTGTTTGTGTCAAACTTGACTAAGAACTATCCCAAGCCGATTTTGATGGGTGATAGCAATAGATGCCATTTTCCATAGCAGCAGATATTTTCTGGTATTTGTATTTTGATGTGTTTACATTTTTAAACTAAATCAGCCCTTCATTGAATGACATGGTATGATCAATCACTAAAAATTAACCAGCATATTAAACTGCAGACAGATGTATTACAATTGCAGAATAAACATGTTGATGTTGAGAAATAAGCACATTAACGTGCAAGTAGAAATTTAATTCACGGAAACCACAGAATAGGGCTTGATGGTTGTAAATTAAATTAAATTAAATTAAAAGCTTCAAAGCTTGTCATCGTTATCAAGGCATTTGTTTCTGAGCAACAGGCTATTTGTCTACAGTAGTACACGCCCAGGATTTTTCAAATTAAATGTTAGATTTTTGTAGGATGATTTCCAATCAAATTTAAGTCCAACCCAGCACCCATTCTGCCATGTAAATGAATGAAATAATGCAAAATAAACTCTTCTGTCAGAATGGTAAAAACAGTAACTTTATTTAATTACTGATACTCTGCAGGGTGTGTGTTAACATTTACATTTCTGGAGTGCATGTGTTAAACAAAACACAGACACAAAAGAACCAACAGCTTGATGCTTCGACTTTAAACATTGTATTGAGGACATCACAATTATATGAAAATACAATAACTCTGTGAGGCATGTGTGAGGAGTGAATGTGTGTATGTGTGACAGAGCTTGATTTCTTTGATCACAGAAAACCCCTTTCACTCCCTGGTTGGACAGTGTGAAAGGCACAGAAGTTTTCAGATGAATGACCACAAGTGCTGGAGGATCAAATCATCTAAAAAGTACAGATGATAACAAATTCAAATAAGTATATAGATTCAGCTAAAATATTGGTGAAATATTTCTACGTAGAAGTATTACATGATACTTGATTAATATGCAAAGACTTATTCAATGAAATAAAGTGAGAATAAAAGCCAGCAGCAATTCCTCCACCCACAGCCTGTCTTGATAGATACTTTGAACTATGTATCAACTACTATTTTGAATATATAATGGAAAGTTCCTCTACTGGTCTACTTAGCTGTTGGGAGTTCATAAGAATGAATGACGAAAAGCTGAAGAAAACAATGTCCTCTCCTTCCACTTAGTGTAAGATTAGGAACAAATTCCAATTTTATGCAGCCCAATTTTATATATGATTATATCATACCTTTAGAGCAGTCTCTGCACTAATGGCGGAGTTGACTGCTCTAGGATCTGGACTGCTTTTTGGTGACATCAGCCAAACGTGCTGCATGTTTTGCACTCTTCATATGCCAGATGAGCTCTACGGTGTAAAGCTTGAAAATTTTATAGCGCAAACTGCAATGAGTTTTCCACCCATTACCAGGTAAAGGCTTAACCCAGTCATATTTGGGGTTATGTAGTTATGTTCAATCTGTAATATAGGCATTAACAAATTGAACCGTCTGACTGACACTAAAAGGTTGCTGCACTTCAGTGGGTACGACAGACAGTGGATAAGAAGATTCTAAAGTGTGGAGCCAGGATTCAAAATGCAACGTTCCATCATTTTTTGATTAATTTACAGTAATGTTGTGTTGTATCATGTATGTAAGACAGGGAAAATAAGACTTTTCCCAATTATTAAATTTAAAACTTTTTACAGTTTTTACAATCCCTCAAGTAACCTGACACTGCAGTGGATCCCATTACTCGCCAGGCAAAGAAACTTTCCACAGGCGTTTGTTTTTTGTGACAGAGGCAAGCACCTTGACATGTATCAAGTGCGAGTCATAGAGTCAAATTCTACCAAAGCATTCATGCAGAGGAACAAGTACAACGTTCTGGAATGGCCATCTCAGTCCCCAGACCTGAATATCATTGAAAATTTGTGGTCTGTTTTAAAGCGGTCAAAAATACTTTCAACCAGAATCCAGACCCTCATTGGAAACTATAGGAAGCATTTAGTGGCTGTTATTTCTGCAAAAGGAGGATCTACTAAATATTAATGTAATTTTTCTGTTGGGGTGCCCAAATTTATGCACCTGCCTACTTTTGTTTAAGTAATTATTGCACACTTTCTGTAAATCCTATAAACTTCATTTCACTTCTTAAATATCACTGTGTTTGTTTGCTATATGATATATTTAATTGAAATTGCTGTTCCGAACAACCAGTGATCCATAAAGGAAAATCTTGAAAATGATCAGGGGTGCCCAAACCTTTTCATACCACTGTAAGTGGTGAAACAACCCTCCAAACTCACTTCTATACTTGCAGTAAAAATAGACAGACAGACAGACAGACAGATAGATAGATAGATAGATAGACAGACAGACAGACAGACAGACAGACAGACAGACAGACAGACAGACAGACAGACAGATAGAAAACATAGCTTCAGTTACATGTTGTCCGAAATACGAGATACAGAAAAGACTACAATTTGTACAGATAAAGGTTTGTAAAAGGTTAGATTTACAACATTACAGTAGATCAGTTTTACTCGGTGGAGCTCACCTGAGGTACTGAACTGTGTAAGTGACATCATTTTCATCAGTTGAACTCCATGTCAGCAGCCACTCATCAGCAAGGATGTTAATTGGTGGTTGTGGGGCCTTCTGAGACACTACTGAAACTAAGAGTAGAAATGACAGTGAATAACAGGAAGAAGAAAAAGAAATTATCCAAGGCTTTTTGAAACACCATCAGTATATACCCGGATTTAGACCGGTGTTTAGTATATACAAACCGTGTGGTTTGGCTTTATCAACTCGGTTCAGGGTCAGTAAGCACAACCAGAAGTAATACATAAGGCGCACCAGGTAATTTTTGAGAAATTTAAAGGATTTTAAGTGCAACATATAGTCAGAAAAATACGCTATGTATTTATTTACCCTTTACGAACCTCCCCCACACTGTTATCAGCAGTAGAACAACAGCAACAACAGTGCCCTCCTGTGTCTAAATGAGGTACCCTACATTAATTAAATGCTCACCATATATACAGTACATATGTCACTTTTTAATGTATTACCCCGTATGTATGTGTGGCAAAATGTCTTAGATATACTTTCTCCTGCGCACGAGAAAGTATCTCGTGAGCACGAGATACGTTTCTCTTTTATTCCCCATGTCCCTATAGGGGCTGCGTATGTTGCAGATTTGCAAAAAAAAAAGAAAAGATTTTGATGTATGATTTCACTGTATGTGGACTTGTTGGTCTCTGACCACAACAGTGGTCAGATGGTGTCCAATTTTAAATCTTACATTACATTAAAAAGAAAAAATACTACCACAGTCAAATACTTTTGTTTCTTTGACAGCTCTATGTGGATGACACTGTCATCTGTTTGTCCCCAGCTTATCAGAGGCTTTTAAAAAGATCCTGCATGCTTTTGACAAGAGTACAGGACTAACTAGACCTTCCTTTTTAAATGCAGAGAAAAGAGAACTTTAACAAGGAAATATCAATATGATTAGACAAGGATCATAAAATAGTCTGTTCTTTTATAAATCCTAATGGTTGACCCTTTGCCTTTTAAGGAGCACATTTAATATGTTGTTAAAAACTTATTGGGATTTAGCTAGTTACAAAACTTTTTCTAACTTTTAACTTCTCCTTTTATGTCAAACAGAAATTGGAGATCTCAGTATTCTTACCTTGAATTATCTAAGAAAAAAACACTTTATATTCTCCTCACCTGTTAGACAGTAAATAAAAATATCGTTTTTCTTTGTGCGAGTGTACATGTTTTGTACAAGTTAATTTAAGGAGGGCACAATGGTTTACAATGCTTAAGGCATTCTAATGAAACTTTTCTATTATAGAAGGATGACGTTAAAATTCTTTGGAAATGAAACTATCGCTGATGTTGAGGCAAACCACAGTACAACATTAAGATGGGATATAAACCTGTGGAGATGGCTAACAGGAACATTGTCGATGTCTTCCTACATGACCAGGCGTATCCAAGACGTAGAGGGGAAAAAACAAACAAACAAAAAAGAATGCCTACATAAAAACAGCCCTCACGACTGCAATGAGTTCCAGGAAATATCACTAAAACGTCACATTAGAGTACTTGCGCAATGAGTCCTCGTTTAAGAGAGATTATGTATTAAAACGTTTTCTCTAACACAGTTCGGCAGACCTGTAAAAATGACTAAATATTACTTTAAATACATGTAACATTTGTTTGCCTTACCTTGAACGAGGGCTTGAAAGGACAGTAACACCAAAAGCATTTTGACAGCGTCATTTCTCCCAACGTAAAATACAAAAGTATGTCCACTTAAAGTGTGGATAAAGAGCACAAAAGCGAATTACAACATGTAGTCTATGTCGGCTGCGACATAGGCGGAACAAGGAAGTGACGTCATATGTAAAAAAACATATACTATACACTCATTTTCACAGTCTTTTTACGTTTTTTGTTTGTTTGTTTGTTTTGCTGTGGTGATATAAACGCGTTTACCTTGATTCTTTTGTACATTTGCTTAATAATAAAAAAAGAAAAGAATTTCCTGAAGGAGAGAAGGGAGGAGAGACCAAAAGGAGGGAGGTGGTCTTCACCTGTATACTAAATAGTGCTTTCTTAAGTTAATCTTGAGTTTCATTTCAAAATACACACACTGTATAATTAAATAAATATTATGTATATTTGGGGTTCTGTTGCAGCCAGTTTATGTTGCTTGCTGTATTTAAAAGCCAGGGTCGAAGTTGGCAATTACCTATAAAATATGGGTCTCAAACTGAAATGAGCTGGAGGCTACTACTGCCATAAAAAACACACCAAGTCGTCATGCTGTTGTTTTTTTTTTTCATACTGTATATTACAAAAGTACAAAGAACAATGTTCTGCACTTCTGCTTTAATATGTATAATATGTATATTAATATGTATAATTTAATGAGTGATACATATTAGTATTTGTATTAGATATGTGATATCAGTGTGAAGCCTTTCTGCTCGTTGTTTTCTTAACCATCTAGTAACTTTAGATAAAAACACATCCAGAAATTTTGTCAGTCCTCACTGAAAAACCTCTTCTTCACATTTACTGCATAGCCAGCACACCTTAGTAAGGTAAAGCTCATCAATCCTCTTTTTTCTCTAAAAGGGAGTTCTCCTTTTATTTTTCTATTTTAGCAGCATGAACATTTTTCTCTTTGTCTCCTGCCCACCTTTTGCATTGTCTAATTGGGATGGACACACCACACATCTTCACCAGCGATCTGTTTTCTACAAAAACTTTTCTCTTTCTCTCTCTTGGATTTCGTAAATAATTATATTAATTGATAAAATGTTATTATCGTTATTTAAACAGTTACACTAAATCATTTATTAGGAATGTTCCAAAATTAAAATTGTTGGCCGAAACAAAAAAAAACAAACTGAAAATGAGGAAACCAAGGGTGAAAACCGAAACTCGGAAAGAAATTATTATGCTAATTATTAGTACCATTGCATTTATGGCTATGACTTTGTACAGATCTCAGTGAAACATGCCTTTTTGCTGAGAAGACGCTTTAGTGCTGTGATTAAAGAATAACATCTGCTACAGATGCATTAGAAAAGCTGATCTCTTTAGTTAGCTGCTCAAATAGGGCAAGAAGAGAGAGAATGTTCTCTATTAAACTCCTGGTCTGCGCAAAGAGGTATTTCAGCATGGTGGATGCTATACGATGTTTGGATTTCCAGTGATAAATTAAACCAGATGTGGAAAAACTCTTTGCAGATGCATCCCCTCTTAAAACTTTTAAAATTTCAGCATTACACGTTTTGCAAACGCTATCCATGGGTCTTTCTCACATATATTGAAATGTGTCCACACCACTCATTTCAAAAACTTTTAGACCAGCCACGGTTTTTGCTTGAGTCATCATAATTTCCTGCTTCGGCTGTTTTTGTTTCGGTGTCTTTTCAAACCGAAAATGCACTTTTGACAATTTTCAGTGGCCAAATATTCGGTGCATCCCTAATAATTATCTTAATTATAGTAGTAGCGTTTAAAACAAGGATTATGATTTGATACCCTGGCTTGAATAGGCTTGTGTATACCAGGCCGACTCTCTTTAGGGGCCAATGCTGTCAATTTAGAAGGGGCAGTACATTGGTCTATCTTCAATACAAACAGTGAAATGAAACAATCATGATATAGTACAAAAGCAACACTCCTTACCTGTGCTGTCCCCTGTACAGTAACTCCCGTCACTTCCCTGGTTTGAAAGTGTTGAGCATGTGTGTTAAAGGAGTAGCACACTGCAAGCTACATCGTAGCAGGTGTGTTGAAAGGCTGCGTAGTAGTTTGAATTTGTTGCAACCCTCTATGCCGTAGATAAACCTGTTGGTAAAAGCTTTCAAACAACAGAAAAACAGATTTTACCGATAATCTGCTAAATGATCATCAAAGATGGGCTGAAATTTCTTGGTCAAGGAAGCTCACCTCTGATCTGCTTGCTGCAGTAAGTGTGCGTTGCTTCCTCTCGGCAGAGATGAAAACCTGGCATCTATTTCCAGTCTTGTTTCTTTGATTTAATTATTAATTAATCCTCGCATATGTTGAATGAACACGTTTTTGACCACACTGCTCCAATCTAGGCGGAGCTAGGCCTGCTGCAATTAGCCAGGCCGTACAGGACTCCCTCACAGCAGCCACCGTATACAATCTCCACCCGTACACAAGAAAGGGCCCAAGACAAAAGACGTACGAATAGTTAGGATTTATTGACAACTAGACAAGTGCTCACACTAGAGTGCATATAAGATATAGCTGCTATAGCTATCTTAGTTCAGATCTCCACCAGGCATGTAAAGGTAGAGTGGGACTATTCCGAAACATCAGTGGAATAAAACAAGCTTGATGCCCAATAAAAAGGCACGTATCTACAGTATCTATCTAGATAGATAGATAGATAGATACGTGCCTATCTATCTATCATTCTATCTAGGATGATAGATAGATAGATAGATAGATATCGACTTCTGTTCTTCTCGAGAGGAAAAATTGGGCTCGGTTGAGCACTCGTAACTCTCGTAATTTTCTCAAAAAGAGGTTTCGCCTCTCATCCAAGAGGCTTCTTCTGTTCTCACTGGTGGTGGGGTACAGTAAATATATACCGTGGGTGTGACAAATATGAACATTGCTGTCCTCGAAGGAGTGCGAGTTGCCCTTGAGATATGTGAACAGCTGAGTCCTGTCCTGAGGAGTTGGCCCTGCTGTGTTGGGCCATGTGCCTGTGTAGCAGTTGTTTGGTCTCCCCAATGTACAGCTCCGTATATTCTTCACTGCACTGAATGGCATATACCACATTGTCCAGCTTGTTTCTTAGTGTCTTGCCTTTGGGATGAACCAGTTTTATTCTCAGGGTCTACCGGGTCTGAAGTGTACGGGGATCTGGTGCTGGTTAAAGATCCTCCTAAGTTTTTCCCGAAACCCCTGCGATGTATGGAATGACGACGTTCCCCCTTCTGTTGTCTTCCCTCTCTGTGGGCCCCATGGCTTTTCTTTTGGCATCAGAAGCCTCAGACTTATCTTTGTGAGCCATAATGAAGGGCAAATGTAAACAGAGCCATATTCCTCACCAGAGTGAGGAAACAAGACTTTCTAAATAAATTCATATCTAGGGGATGTGGCAATGTATCGTCAGAATGCTGAAGGTTGAGAACGTCCCAAACGAACCCCCTGTACAGTAGCTCACACTGCAAATACTGAGTGAGTAGTCAGATACAAGTGGGATATTGTTCCTTCTTGTACTTCTCTGAAAAACTCTGTTGTTTTGCACTTTAACTCCAAAACGTCCTCAAGCATATTCAGGGTTGTCCTCCACGAATCACAGCTTTTCCAGCCAATCTGAATTTTTCTCTTTGGGATTGGTGAAGTCCTTGCTTCCCAAGTTCCAGACACACAGCAAACCATTTCAGCACCTCTCCCCTGGACAGTCACTAGAATTGACATGTGGCAGGAGATCTGTATTGGGAGATCAGAAGATGGGGAGTGCATGAACATAAACAATGTTGACAGTGGACACACGTTTAGACACATTTTCATTTTTTATATATTTTTACCCATCAGGGCCCACTGACATGATAAACACAAGCCCTTACTCTGTTATCTATGCTGCATCAATTGTTTTTCCAAACTGTGGCGAACCTTAGCAGACCGTTCTTTGTTGTATTTAAGGCAACTATTTGAAAAGCAGGCACTGCTCTAGTTACAAATAATAATAATAATAATAAAATGTGTGTGCAAACCAGGATAAAGGTCTGCTGATTAAAAGAAGCGAATCCTTCCAAGTTTATTTGTTACAGAGGGACAACGTATATATTAATGAACCTTAAAAGATAAAATGTAAATGCACTCAATTGTAGCCAAAAGGCTAATCTACGTACATTGGTAGCCCCCCTGCCAGAGGGAGCAAGGCAATGTAGCATGGTAGCGACAAGCTATAAATGACATAAAAGGCAAACAATTTACAGGACAGGTACAATATTTTACACTATAGGCCTTTCACAAATATTTAAGAAATGTACTTCAGGAGATTAATGGCTAATGTTAACATATTTGGTTGGTAAATTAGCCATTTCTTTAGATTATTTTAAATAAGTATGAGATGGATTCTCTTATGTCTTGTGGGAGTGTGTTCCACTAATTTCCTGCTTATAAAAACGGACTTTTTAAAATAAAGTTTTCCAGAGTGGTATCTCACATACACTATATTACCAAAAGTATTCGCTCACCTGCCTTGACTCATACTATGAACTGAAGTGCCATCCCATTCCTAACCCTGAGTTCAATATGATGTCGGTCCACCTTTTGCAGCTATTACAGCTTCAACTTTTCTGGGAAGACTGTCCACAAGGTTGAGGAGAGTGTTTATAGGAATTTTTGACCATTCTTCCAAAAGCACATTGGTGAGGTCACACACTGATGTTGGTCAAGAAGGCCTGGCTCTCAGTCTCC